TTTTTTTTTTTTTTTTTTTTTTGAGATAGGGTTTTGCTCTTTAGTTCAGGCTGGCCTTGAACTCACTATATAGATCTGGCTGGCTTGGAACTCACTGTGATCCTCCTGCCTCAGCTTCCCAAGTGATGGGATTACAAACATGTGCCACCACACCCTGCAATGAATGTTTAAATTTTAAAAATTTATTACTATGAAAGATAAGTGGTCATTAATCTCCCTCAAATATTCCCCCTTGCTCATCTCAGCGTTCTTGCCAATTTCTGAAGCAGTTCTGGCAGCTCTCTTTCATGACTTTAGTGGCACTGTTGTGGCTGTCTTGATGTCCTGAATTGATCAAAGTGTTTACCTTTCACGGTCATTTTAACTCTGGGAAAGATTCAGAAGTTGCATGGTGCTTGACGTGGAGAATAATGTAGATGAAGACACACCGTAATGTTTTTACAGGTCTACTTTGCTGTTGGATGCCACTCAGCAGCTACATTCACCATATTTCTGATCATACTTGGTAAAGACACGCACAAAAGATGACTTCCAGAACTGCTTTTGAAAGTGACAAGGATGGGATAAGTGTGTTTAAAGTGAAGGTGTAAAAAGGATATATTCTAGAGGATTAGAGACAATGCATCTTTTGCTGTAACAAAGTTTTTTTGTTGTGTTTTGTTGAGATAAGATCTCCCTATGCAGAACTCATTAGGTAGTCAGGCCAGGCAAACTCGCAGTGATCCTCCTGCCTCAGCCTCTCGAGTGCTGGGATTATAGGTGTGTACCACCAAGCTCAGCAATAAAGTTTTAAATTTCAGCATTCATTGTATATTTTGATCACACACACACACATACACACAATATATATATATTGTGCCAAAAGCTGATTTCCTAAAGAAAGAGGAAAGAATATGAGGTCAGATGGTGGGAGGACATAAAAATCAGATAGCATGATTTGAGCTAGAATCTACCAGGGATCAGGAAGCCCTCGCAAGACCCTGAGCGGACTCCAAGCATCCGCTCTGGATTGGCCACACTTAGAATAACTAATGAGTGGCGGGAGGTGGAGGGGTGGGAAGAAGAAGCTGTCAGGTCGCTGTCAAGGGGGGAAGCCCTGGTTGGGATCCTGGCTTAGGAGAGAAGTTGCTGAAAGGTGGGCTCAGTCAGCAGCACATAGGTAGGTGTTTCTATGGAATAACATGGAGAGATAGCCAAGAAAACTTCTCGGTTAAGACCTGGGGCAGGAACAGGACCATACTGTGCTCAGCCGCAGCCAACACGTGACTCATGCTGTGACACTAGAGGGCCATTTTTCCAGGTGGCACCTGGTGCCCATGAGCATCTCCACTACCCACCCCTTTAGGAAGCACAGGGGCAGTTTGGCCAACTGATGCCTGAGTAGGGATGGGGCTGCTAAGGGAGGTGAGCACTTGGGAACCAGGTCTGAGTAGGTAAGAACCCAAGCAGCCTACTGGTGGGGAGTCAGGATGGACTCCGAGCTAAAACAAATCGCTAAAGAAATATTTGATAGAATAAAAATGAAAATAACTTTTTGAAAGTTAGCAACATTGGGTAAAAACGACAGGGTTGGAGATACCAGCTCAATAGAAAGTACGCTGAATATAAGCTTTGGGTTTGTTCTATTGTACAGTTGCTTGCTTAGTAAAATAAAAATTATCCTAGTTCAAGCAAAGGCTAGACAGTCATCTACCGGGGCCTGAAAATAGAAAGGTGGACCCCAGGGCCCCAGGGCTACCTGACCTCAAAGATCTGACAGCATACTGCGCCAGTCAGGTAACAAAATGGCAGGTACACAGTTGGTGGCAAGAATCGGTGACACATGAGGGTTTCAGAGATGAATGCACAGGTTTGGAGCACCCCACCACATCCTGGGCCTGGGCAGGCACTGTAGGAGGCTTTGGGGGTTGCGGATTGACTGGAGCCTCTGTCACCTGTGGCTTCTGTTCCTGCCTCTGTGTCTGTACCTTCTCCTCTCCCCTTTGGATGGTGCCACCTTGCTCTTCTTTGGTCTCAATTCCTGTTCCTCAGCTCAGCTTTCAAACCTTGGTGATTTCTTGGACTCTGGTCCTATCCCTTCTCTCTCCCATTTATTCTCTCTCCTATTTATTTCCTCTAATTGAACTCATTTGCCCCCATAGCAACAACAAATGCATATGTGAGATTTACGGTGAGTCCAGATCCTTAAATTTCACTGGCTTCTGGATATCTGGGTGTGACTTCCTTTCAGTACCTCAAATTCCATGTGTCCAGAGCTCAGTTCATCAGCATTCCTTCCAACCTGCTCTTCCTTCGGGACACCCAACCAACATGCAGACACTCAAGCCTCTCCTGGATATCACCTCCCTTTAGACCTCCATATGTGGTCTGACACCAAACTCCACCTTCTTTTTTCAGTCACGGTGCCTTAGTTCAGGCCCTGACTTCTCTTGCTATGAAAATTGCAGTAGTTTCTAACTGGCCTCCTTCCCTGCGTTCTTTCTTCCAGGAGCCTGTTTCCTGTTTTGCATCTCAAACAGCCTTTCAAAGATGCACCTCGGTCACGAAGTTCGCCACTCCACGTATAAAATTTCAACTTGATTTTATTGAGCACAAGTGGTAAAAAGTGCTCAGAGGTGGCCAGAGAACTTGAATGACACGCAGGCTTGTCTGACAGGCTAAAATATTAGGTCTTTATTCACAGGGGAATGAAATTTTGAAAGACTTTTAAACAGGGCGATGACATGGAGAAACTGGATTTTCAAATTTCTGTGTGAAGAAGGGTGAGAGGACAGTAAGCAAGTGTCTAGAAGAGCAGCAGGGACTTTACTGGAGCAATTCAGCTGAGAAATAAGATTTCCTCTCCAATGACCAGTGATGTGGAACATTTTTTCATATATTTACTTGCTGCTTTTACTTCTATGTCTGAGAAATGTCTGTTCATTTCAGATGCCTACTTTTGAATTGGGTCTTTATATTTGGCGGGGGCTGATTGTTTTGAGTTCCTTATATATTCTAGATAAGAGCCCTTTGTCTGAGGAGGAGCTGGTAAAAACTTTTTCCCACATTGTGGGTAGTCTCTTAGCTCTGTTGGTGGTTTCTTTTCCAGTGCAGAAGCTTTTTAATAAGATGAGATCCCAGTTGTTGATTCCTCCTGCTAGTTCCCGTGCTAATGGGAATTTGTTCATAAATTCTTTTCCTATGCCAATGTCTTCAAGAGTTCTCCCTAACTTATCTTCCAGCAAGTTTAGTGTTTCTGTTTTAATATTTCCACATCACTGGTCATTCGAGAGATGCAGATGAAAACAACACTGAGATTCCAGCTCACCCCACAAAGAATGGCTGCTATCAAGAAATCAAACAATAAGAAATGTTGGCGGGGTTGTGGGGAGAAAGGAACCCTTCTCCATTGTTGGTGGGAGTGCAGACTGGTGCAACCACTATGGAAATCAATATGGAGATACCTCAAAGAGCTGGGACTAGAGGTTTCATTTGACCCAGCCATCCCTCTTCTGGGTATCTTTCCAAAAGAATTAAAAGAATTATATCACGGTGATATATGTGCACCTATGTTTATATCAGCACAGTTTGTAATAGCTAAAACTTGGAAACAGCCCATTTGCCCATTAGTTGGAAACTGGATAAAGAAGATGTGGTTTTTCTATAAAATGGAATACTACTCAGCCATAAATAATGAGAAATTAGATTCATTCATAGGAAAATGGATACATATTGAGGATATACTCCTAAGTGAAATAAATAAGTCACACATGTGTAAATACTGAATAGTTTCTCTGGTGTGAAAAACTATAATAGTGCATAAGATCCTAATGACATAATTGACAATGTGAAATAGGAAGAAAAGGGCTAACGGTGTAGGGAAAGTGGGAAGGGTAGGGGAAAGAAAAAAATATGACAAAATAAAAAATGGAAATAAAGTGTTTGTAAATGGGGAGGGGAAGAGGGGGTGAAGGAAGGGCAGGGACAAGGGGAAAAAATGAGAACCAAGACCTGTCATGTAAAGGTACAAGATCCCAATAATGAATGTAACTGTACTGTATACCTAAAATGCACCAATAAACTCAATGAGAAAAAAAATAAGATTTCCTAATGGGAATAGGACAAAAGGGTGGATTCAGAGGAGTAAAATGAGCACAGAAAGACAAGGGAGATGAGAATTTTAACCTCAGAGTACAGTGGACATATTCACTGGGGGTTGAAGGGTTGAAGCCCCAACCCCCAGTGTGGAACATGGAGGGGGGCCTTTGGGATGTAACTGGGTTTAGGCGAGGCTTTAAGATCAGGTGATACTAATGATGAGATTAGTGTCCTTAATAGAAAAGAAAGTGAGATCAGAGTTTTCCTCACTTACTTTTTGTCATGTAAAGACACAGGGGAAGGAGGCTCTCTACAAGCATGAAGTGGGACAGAAATTGGCCAGCACCTTGCTCTTTGACTTCCTATCCCTGATAACTGTGGGAAAAAAGTAAGTGTCTATTGTTTAAGCACCTAGTCTGTGGTGTTTTTTGCAGCAACTAGAGCTAAAACACAGTTTTACTGGCTTTGGGACAAGAAACAGGCCTCTTGGGAAGGGTTGAGATGTTTAATTTTTAGGCAAGATAATTATAGGAAAAATAAGCTGGTATGTCCAGGAGGTTAAAAAAAAAAAAACGAATGGATTTGCTGCACAGGAGGGGGATATGGCCTGGTAACCCAGCGTCTTGTCTACTTTATTTCAGGTAAACTCATGCTGTGGTTTTCTAATAGATTCTGTCATATTCTGTGTGTTTCCTTTGGGAAATATACTTAACTTGCTTTGGTAATGGTGAATGATTGCTGTGGTCCTGGAGTGCCATGTTGGCCCTAGTGGAATAATGAGTTCTGTGATTGATTTGGAATGTCTGCCTTGGGCATAGGTGTGGAGTGGTGACATGAGTGCCATGCTGGGCCTTCTCTATCCTAAACCTTCCACCAAGGAGGAATAGAACAGCAAGAGCAAGATTGTTGATCTCTTAAAGGTCTGCAGTCTAAGTTGTACCACAGCTGCTGGAAGCTAATTTAAACACCAAATAAATTATCTGAAATGTAAGATCCAGGTTACAAAAATCTTCTGCCCAAAGTGAAAAGACATTTGATTCCCCAAGAGGGAGCATGTAATTTTTATCTCGGAAACTTGGAATTGGAATTCCTGTGAAACAGGCCTGAAAAACAAAGGAAACTCTAGAATTTAGAAGCATATTGTACAGATTTTAACAAAAGAAATGACTTTAATATATTTTCTTTTCATTTAAAATAGACTTACCAGTAATAGAGCAGGAAGCAGAAGTTGGGCAGAGTGACAGCAAGCTGCAGCCACCTCCAGTGAGGAAGGGCATATGCCACCCCTGCTAGCACCAGGAGCCCAATGGTAAAGGAGGCTTGGTAAAAAATCCCCACTGTTCTCCGATAGCTCAGCCCAACAAATTCTGTAACTGCAGAGAGAATCCAAAAGGTCAGCACACTTCAGCACCACTGTGAGTGGCTGTCAGGCTATATGGAAACCCAGAATGCCAGCCTCAAAAATATGGGGCAAATAGGATTTTCTATACAACTCTATGAACGTTTAAAAATGTTCTTTGGAGCTTATTTTGTTATAGTTATTGCTGTTGTATCAATTAATAGGATTTCTATAAATGCCAATGTGAACAAAAAAGTTTGATTTATAGAATAAGTTTGGAGTCAAATAAACGTAACTGCATTTCACTTGAGTGCAGAATTTTCATCTAGACTAATAAGACAGTGATAACTCAAGATCAAAATAAATGTATCAAACATTAAATTTACATTGCAGACAACTTTTATATAAATGGACACCTTCTTGTAAGTTGTTCTCTTGAAGGGTAAACATTTCCTTTACAATCCTGTTTATTTGCGTCAAAGGCTGAAAACTGAAAAGTGGGCTGGAATCAGGAAGTACTGGCTGCAAGAGCACATTTTTAAATTTTCAGGAATTTTGGAAACAGGTTGTTAAACTTATTATTGTCTTGAAATCAGCCATGGTGGAAGTATTTAAACCTGGAAAGTTGGAAGACACTACAAATCAGGGCTTTTTTACTTTTCAAGAGCCAGTTCACCAGCACAGCACTCACCGCACATGGTATAGCAATCAGCTTTTTCCCATCCCATGACTGCACTGCGGCAGATGTATGAGGTCGATGTACGTGGAACGAGGGGATAGTTGTTTTTATATGACAGACATAGTACCATTGAAGTTCCAGATGTTACACAAATCACAATTTTGGCTTTAAATGTTTGGCAAATATGTTAAAGTCTTCAACTATTTATAAACCAAACAGAAATATACCCTAAAATATTTCTATAAAAAACTATGACTTATTTGAAATATTTAAAAACAGCTTAATAAATTGATAGGAAGGAAGGAAGGAAGAAAGAAAAAGAAAAGAGGGAAAGCCAGTGCTCAATAATACAAATGCCTTTCAAAGTGGTTGGGGTGGTTGGGTCATGGGCAAATTTTGGGGAAGGCTGGTAGGAGGAGCAGAGTAATAACAAGGTACACATAAAAGACTCAAGGACATTCAGGGGGACTAGAGAGAAATGAATGGGATGAGGCTGAGCTTAACTTTTGCTGAAATATACACATCTGCAATTTAATTCTATATACTGCACATTCTAGAAACCAAATTATTGGTTGAGTAACTGCATACATGAACGCCTTCATTGACCAATTTTTTTTAAGATACCTGCCCTGGCAGGAATAGTATTAAGAATCATCTCCTCTTTCTTTCTTTCTTTTCTTTTCTTTTTCTTTTTTTTTTTTTTTTTGGGTTTTTGAGACAGGGTTTCACTGTACAGTTGAGACTGACCTGGAACTCACTATGTAGCCCAGGCTGGTCTTGAACTCACAGCGAAGAATCATCTCCTCTTTCTGTTACAGAATTTGTAAGCACATACATCCTAGTTCTCTCATGTCTAAAGAGAGCTTCATTATTGTTATTGGAAGTAGTTAACTTCAAAATGTCCCTTTCCCTATGTGTACATGCTATTTAAATGTAACCAAAGAGAACGTAATGATGAGAGCTAATTTCCAAGATCTAATTATGGCCTTGATTTTTCTTAATATTGCTCTAAAAATGCTTTGTTGTTAGAATTTAAGTATGCTCTCGCAGTCCATGGATTTTAACTATACTCTGACCACTAATGAGTAGGATGTAAATTATATAATTTTATATTATATAAACTGGCTTGCTGAGGTGCTGGACCTATCTATATCCATCACAATTATTTATACATACTGAGGATTATTGTGGTTTCCTAGAATGGATGAATGTAGAGCAATAAAGTCCTTTATACACCAAACATACCTCTCATCATTACATCTTTTATCTGAATGGGCCCAGTGGGCTACATTTCCTCTCTACATAACACTCCAGAAAACAAAAATTCCAAAAGAGTTATGTAGGAATCTGGGTGGCATGATGTTTACCCTTGTTTCTGCCTTCATTGTTTTCTTTTCATAGGAGGAATGCAGAGTGAGTTGATTAGACAGTTTAAAAGAATTCTTTGGATACAGAATAGATCTCCCAACATAGCCTTGAAGCTGGGTCCTTGTTTCCACCCCCACCTGACTCTACTTTGGCAGCCAAGTAGTCCCCGTGCTCTCACAGCTGCAACTGTAAGCATTCTTACTCAGGATGTAGCTGATTAACCAGCCTGCTTTGCTGACCAGTCCTTGGATCAAGCGAAATAATAACATCCATGTATAGTTTGGGGAAATGGCCATGAGAACCCCAGATGATGCATTTATGAGAATTGTTATGAAGAGGCAGATTTTACGGCCAAACCTGCAGAGAGATAAACAACAAAAGCAAGCACAATTAAATCTGATTCATAAAAATTGTAGAAAATTCATGAGAGTTATGGAAACGTAATCAAAAGCAGAAACTAACTCTAAATTTCAGTCACGGGTTTATATTCACAAAGACAGTTCCTGATTTTGGTTCTGTTTAGGAGCTTTTGTTGGTATACTAAGTATAAAATTGATGCACAATGAGCCTTGTTCTCTCCAGGGCTGAAGATTCTTCTCAGCTACTCACTGTGGCAGTCATTCAAGAGGGGTTTGTCCTTCCAGGCCACCCAGTGCTAATACCCCAAGGGCCTATTTAGGTCTTACATCACCCTATGAGCTGGGTTTTTTGCATTAACAGTCTCAACCAACTGTCCACGTTTGCTTTGGGAAAAATAAAATTTGATGTTCAGTATACATGCCCCTTCATTTTTAACAGTACTTTCGAAATTTTGTGGTCTTTAGAAGTCTGTCTTTGGTTTCACATACTATGATTCCAAAGTGCTTTTGTTACTGAGCATCCTGGTAGGACGAACTCCATACTTTAGATTTGAGGGAACTTAGCTTTCATTAGTTTAGGAACTCCGGAGAGTTGTCCTAAAATAAAGCAAAAAATTGGCAACCTCGGTTTAATCATGGTCTTACTACTTACTATGGTGTTGGGCAAGTTATTCAACCATACTTGATTCCTTCATATGGAAAAGGCTTATCTGACCTGAGAATAGATTAAGTAAGTTCTTAAGGACAAGGAGCTCAGTGTAGTCTTGTTTTCTTCCTCTGTTTGCAAAGCTGGTGTTAAGGTTTGGATGTTTTGTTCTCCAAGGATGCATGTGTTGGAAACTTGGTCTTCATGGTGGGAGTGTTAGGAGATGAACTGCGTAGAGGTGGAGCCTAGTGGGAGATCCTTAGGTTTTTAGGGGCCCTGCCCTCAAGGGGGATTAAGGAGGTTCTCGAGAGAGTGAGTTGTATAAAAGCAAATTGATCCTTGAATCACTCCCTAGCTTCCTGTTTTGTAATGTGATCTCTTTCTTGCATACATGTTCCCAACATTTTCTTTTTGAGCTTTAAAAGTAATTTTTAGTTTTGAAAAGTTAATATGTACATTATAGGAAACAAAAACACAAAGAGCAAAGAATAAAGCCATTTGTTGTCATAGCAACTGTTTTGGAAGTGTCCTTCTAGGTTCTATGAGTGCATACATAACCTGGCTGATACTGTACAGTGTGGTGTGCTTTTCCACTCACCATGAATAGTCACGAAGTCAAAGCCTCAAAGTTACAAGAATACTTTTGTTAACCAAGAAACTACACCAACTCAATCTGTTAGAAAAATTGTAATCCTGCCTTTCTTGTGGACAAAAATTTCACTGAAGACAAAAATGGCAACAGATCTCTAGATAGAAATACTGTCAGAGTTACAATTAAAATAATGCATTGTCAATGCTCAATTTAAAATGTGGCATAAAGCAATGAAGTAGATCTCTATTATTAAATGCTTCCATCATTATTACACCATCTACTGAGAGATCCTCACTAGAGCTGATGTGGTACCATGCAAGCAAACCTCCAGAATTACAGGCTAAATAAACCTCTTTTCTTTGTAGAGTTACTCAGCATCAGGTATTACATTACAGTAACAGAACATGGACTAAAACAACTGGCTGTCAGAGAATACACTTGGGGCCCACTTAAATTCTCATCGTGTCCTCCTAGTTGTGTTCTAAAAGTCATCCTAATTTGCTCTCTGGAAATTTTGAAAATATTTCATAGAAAACAGTGTTATATCTAGTCTTCATTTTACCCATTTATTACTAGTAAAAAGTATTTATTACTAGTATTGTATATCCTAATGGTGGATGAGGATTTTATAATTGCTGCTTTTGTTAATAGGCAAGAATGTTCTGGTTACTATTTCAAATACGAATTAATCATTTGCATTACCCATAGCATCATTGTTATGGCTTGTTAGACATCCCCACAAAGCCTCCTGTGGTCATAGGTGGGGCTTTTCAGGGAGGTGGATCTAGAATGTGAGATGCTGAGACCAAGGATATGTGATTACTAACTTACTCCATTGATGAGTGTGGGGTCATTCTGGGAGCAAATAATGGGAAGGCCCTGCCTCGGTGTGAGTGCTACCTGCCCTGAGGGTGGGTAGGCTGGACAGAATGCAAAGGACAGAAAGAGGGCTGCTGTGGTCTCTTGTTACTTGCTGCTTGCTGTTTCACTGCTTTTCCTACCTTCTGCCTGTCACGAACTGTTTCTCCTCTGAGATGCCCCTCTGCCATGCCCTGCCTTGGAGTCAGCTAACTATGAACTGAAACCTCAACAAACTGAACGAAAATAAGCCTTTCTTCCTTTAACTTTGGGTGTCAGGCATCTTATCTCAGCAACAAGAAAAGTAACTAAGATAATCATTAATAATTATTTTAGACATTTAATGTTTTAAACTTGAAATTTAAAGTTCAAGCAGTGACATTAGTAATTAACACAAACTACTAAACTTCTTAAAGCTCTCCTTGGCCACATTATTTCCTGATTCTCTGTTAATTGCTCTGTTGTAAATATATAAGCCCTTGGCTTTTAATTAAAAATCTTCCAGAGTCACGTGTTACTTAATTTAACCCTCCCAACAATGTCCTGCTTTAAACCCTTTCTTTTATCCTTAGATTTTATAATCTATAAATATTTGCTTTAGTGGTAATTCTTCAGCATTCATGGCTGGTTTAGGCACTCAGGATAACAGTGATGCTCCTGTAATGGATGAAATCCTTGGATAAGGAAGGAGGAATATTCATCATTGGAGAATTTAAGCAACGAAACCCAATCCATGATGTAGAGAAACTTCACGGTGGAACATGTTTCAATTAAGGATACACTACTATTAAAAAAACAAAAAAAGCTAAGGCATTGCTAGAAGAAATTGTGGTGGTCTTGGGTAGTGGTTGGAGATCCCCTCCCTCCAAAAGATAAATTTAAATTATTACATGAAAAATAAACAGATAAACCAGGAGAGGAGGGGTGGGCACCCAGTACTGCCAACTTGGTAATTCCTTTTGCTGCTTGCTACTTGGTATGTGGTCCAGAACTTTCAGTGAAGTGGGGAGGGCATGGACAAGCATCATTTAGGGGACGGTTCCAGATGCAGACTGTCAGGCCTGTCAGAGTGACTGAATCAGAACCTCACTTCTACCGGGATCCCAGGTGATTTGTATGCACATTAGCATTTGGAAAGCAGTGCTTTAATTTCACTGTACTGTAGTTTCTTCCTCTGTAAGTGATGGATAATAAAATCTACCTTAAAAGCTGCTGTAATCTTAAATGAAATAGTAACAAGTGAGGGTACTCAGTGAATCAACCCGCACATAGTAGTCAGTGGAAAACTTGTTTTGGAAGATCTTGTATAATTGGGTGTATTGGGATACAACCTACTGGGACTTTGCTTCTGCTTTGATCTGGGTCCAACAGGATATGGGGACAGTGGATATTGGCTCATGGGAGCTAATTTTTATTAGACTCAGAAAAATTGAAAGCTACTTGTTAAACACAGCCATTATTGAAAATTAGATTATATATACTTACAATGAAATAGTTACATTAAAAATAAATGTAATAAACTTGTAAAATATACTACTTCCTAATTATTTGACTATTTTTGACCATCTATTCTCCTGAGGTTATTTGTGTCTACTGTAGTGAGGTGGTAGAAATGCTGTGTAACAGTGCAAATTTCTAGCCACTTCTGTCCAGTGACTTCACTTTGGTAGCTTATAATGGGCCATGGTCCCTGCAGAGAGCCAGTTGTTAAACATCTATGGACGTGACTCTAAATCTGGCACTTATTACCACTTATCATGAGAATGAAAAACCCAGAAGTGATGAAGAATTGCTTTTTTTGTGTTTCAGATGATACACAGAAATCCTTTCTTAGGAGGTATGGATGAAGAAATAAGTTATCTATCTTATGAGAATTTTATTTTCAAATTCTCTATCATATGACTTGCCTTTTTTTGCTGACAGCCCTTGGGAAGTAGACTTGCTGTTAAGCCTCATTTTTAAATCCTTCCTTCCTTCCTCCCTCCCTCCCCCTTCTTTTTCCCTCCCTTCCTTCCTTCCTAACTTCCTTCCCAGTATCCTTATTTACATCCTATTCACTGTCTTCCTGGTTTTCTTCAAAAAGACACCATGATTAGCCATTAGAGTATATTTTTAAAATTCTTCATGGAGGACAATTATATTTTATGGAAAGATTATTTGATGTGTGGATAAAGTGGATTCCCATGACATTCTTGTATAAAATCTGAAACTCATAGGTATTAAGTATGCAAAAGATAAATTGCTTCATATTTTTCAAACCCCATGCAGACCATCTTACTTCTCTGATCCCCTGTGCCCTCTCTCATGAATGCACAAATAGAACAGAATGGTCCATGACCACAACACTTCCAGACAGCTTAAGAAAAAGAAGTAGAAGCTGAGCATGGTGCCACATGCCTGTAATCCTAACACTCTGAGAGGCTAAAAGCAGGAAGTCTGCAAATTGGAGCACAGACTGGGCTATATAATATAGCCACTTAGCCAGACTGTCCTAAAATAAAAATAAAAAAGGGCTGGGAGCATAGCTCACAGCAAAGGCTCTGAGTTTAATCTGGAAAGAAAGAGAGAGAGGGAGGGAGAGGAAATGAAGGCGTGTGCACTATCTCTTGGGTAGGAATACTGAACATCTGCTTTCCAGGGAGGACTTCCCCTGCAAGAGCAGACCGATGAGGTCATTTAAGGAGGAGGATAACTGACCGGGCATTATCACTCAGCAATGTACCCTCAGGAGGGAGTTGGAACCTGACTCCTACTCCTGGAGTGGGATGAGAATAATTATTAACTGATGTCTGAAGCCCACATTCTGAGAGCTCCTGTGCTTCCCTGGAAGGGTGGTAAGTTTTTGGAGTTCCCAGCTAACAGGGCACAAGGAGCTGCCAACCAGCTGCCTCAGAGAGCAAGGCTGGACCCTGGGTGTCCTTTTTCAATGAATCTGTCTTGACTTACTCTACCAACTCCAAACAGCTGTCCTTGGTTCTGGGGTGATAACAGTAAAAACAATGACCTTCCTGTCCACCTCACAAACCTCCCACAGCAAGCCTCGGGGAAGGCCCTGTCAGAAAGGCTGAGCAGATGGTTACCACGAACAGTGATGGTGATGACAGAATGGCCCTTTAGTCCACACCCTCAGCTGTTACCCTTCCTCCTGGGATGCCATGTGGGCCCAGGCCATGTAAGGGCATTGAGCTCTCCTTGGGTACTGCCAACACATTGGCTGCTTTTAGTCAGCCTGAGAATGTCATACAAGCAGAAAACATATTTGCCTACCTTTATAATTATACTCACAGGTCTGGTCATATCATAGTTGCAGTTGAGGAGGACATGGGAGGGTAATGAGTACAAAGTATATTTACATTTATTTCAGAGTTAAATACGTATTTTATATATAAATATAATTAAGTCATATATATTATATATAAGTATGAAGTCATATAGTTGCATACTGCATATATTTCTACATAGTTAAAAGGGCTGGTCAAAAATAGTGTTTGCTTAAATTAAAAAAAATTTATTACACTAAAAAGCACATTGCTGTGAATCCCTCTCAAAACACCCTCCCTCACTTCAAACGCATTTATCCCATCCGTCTTCTTACTTTCTGAAGCAGTGTTGGAAGCAGTCCTTTCTGCAGCAGAAATTCTTTCCTGATTGTCTTTACCAGGTCTGATTTAAAAAAAAACACACAGTGACTGCTACTGGACAGTGCTATCCCACAGAAAAGCAGTCTTGTGAAGACACCGCCACGTGTCCTCATCTACCTTATTCACTGGATCCATCACTGGTGATGTCTGGCTCTTCCCCGAAGCCAAAATGACTATGAAAGGTAAATTTTTTAAATCAGTGCAAGGCATCCAGACAGGCATGACAGTGCGACTAAAGACTCCCAGGAAAAAAGCCTGCCAGAACTGTTTCAGGATGTGGCAAGAACCATGGGATAAGCATGTTGGGAGTGAGGGGCAGTGTTTTGGGGCAGCTTAATGGAAATGAGTCTTCTACTGTACTAAATTTATTTTAGTTTAAATATTCGTCAAATTATTTGATCACACTGTCTATATATTTGCATACATATATCTATCTATCTTACTAGGTGGCTGATGATTGAAGAGAATGGTCTGTCCAAAGCCTTACACACAGTGCCCGGCACCTAGCAAACACTCAGTATGTAGTCAACATTATGAATATTAGGTAACTGGCCTGGGTGGCCAAGTTAGCTTAAGTGCTTATCTAACATAAAGCAAGTTCCTTTCCCTTTTGGGGGAGCCCAAAAATATCAAGTTGCTCATCAATAGATCAGAGACTAACATTCTAAGGCACTTTAAGTGAATGTGGGATTCTAAAATGCTGGATGAATCAGATACAGGGCTGTCTTGGTTAGTGTGAACACTGAATATAGAGACATGGAGACAAGTCCTCTGAGAGGGCAATTGCTATATGGCCTCTTCTCCTCTCTGGAGGGACACTGGCTTTGTGGAAGGGTCTGCACATCTCCTGGTATACACAGGCCAGTTCCATTTTTTTTAGACTCATTATATGCAAGATTCTGTACACACAATCCCATGTGGCCCCAGGAACGCAATTCAGGAAGTCTGCAGGCTGACAGACAATTTGGATAGTCTTTGCTCCACCTGGTGCTGAGGGCCCTGGTGTGGGAGGGACAGCAGAAGATGGGAAGAAACTCCCAGGCTCTGATGGCTCATGACCAAGTTGGTGGCAATAAGGGCAAAGTATAAAATAAGAATTATAAAAGGGATTAAATCATCTTTTACTTTCTTTTCTGGATCTTACCTGTTGGATAGCCTACAAGCAAAAATTGCTGCTTAGTGCTGAAACATCCCTCTCTGACCATAGATCATTTAAAAATAAAGGCACAGGTCATATTACCAAAATGGTGGGAGAAATCTAACACTGTGAAGTTACCCTACAAGTGTTTCACCTACCTGTCTGCTAGGTAGCCGATGCCCACAGCACCAATAAAAAACCCTACATTCACAGCTGACTGAAACAGGTCCAGCATCCAGGAGTTGGCACACACTAGGTTGAACTGTCCAGATGTGAGACGTGTTCCAGGCCGAGAGGGAAAGAAAGCATAATCCTGTTAGATACAACTCAGCCAGGAGCTCACTAAATATTCTTCATACTGAGCTGGTGTGGCTGAATGACAGCAACCCAACTGTTTCTTGACCATGTTAATGTTCTTTATGCTGCCAAAACACTTGGTCCAGACATCCATCTAGCATCCCACCTTGCAGCATGACATTTGGCTAAACTAGAGTGGCAGCTAATCAGCCACACACACAGAATGATTCCACCTACAAATGAATCCATTTTCTTTCCTACTTTTAATACACAGAGGGAAAGAGCTGTATGGACATAACACATGTGCAGCCAGGAGGAAACTGGGTTGCTGAGCATTTGTTTTAGCTAACTTTTTCACAGTAAGGGATTCAGAGAGTTCTGCTAATGGTTGTTGCACTTGCTTTACTTGAAATAAGACAGGAAGCAGGGTCAGCAGGTGCTGGCCTGGAAAACATTTGGCTTTTAGAGTTAATCTTGATGTCACTCAATCTGTGGCTGGCTGGCACAAAACTTTGTTCCACTCTCGGCCTCAGTTTTCTCTTTTCTGTACAAAAAGATGAGATTAGCCATGCTGTAGAGCCTCGTAGACTTCTATAGTGTTAGGTCCATGAGCCGCTACAATGCACACAACTATTCCGATTTTTCACATGAGGCTCCTCTGCCCCACTGTTTGTATGCACAACACGTCTTCACATTACACAAGTGGTCCTTTCAATTAACCCAGAGAGCTCACTTTTACTTTCAGGACAGTTTTTTCTCTTCCATTTTCCTTTGCCTTCAATTCCTTTGCCATGAATTCTTTTCTCTTATTGGAACAAAGCTTCATAATTAGATTTTGCTATGATTTTAATTTTTGATAAAAGCAATTGTGCCACAGCATAATCTCCAGCCCAAATGGTTTCACTTGGACACTGAGCAAATTAAAGAGGAACAAACAGTCATCAAGAGGAAGGCACAGTGATTCACACAGTGAAGTATCATTCAGGTGAGTGCCACATGCTCTCCACTGTCACTTGTGTGATGGCAGAATAGAGAGAGAGGTAAGGCTTCCAGAAAAACAGAAAGCTTGAAAACATTCCCTTTCCTGGCATCAAGTCCTTCACTTGTTACTTACTGCTGAGACTTGCATGAACTAGAATCACTGTCAGAATCTGAGACAGACAGTTTTTTTTTTGGGGGTGGGAGGTACTGGGGCTCGAACTCAGGACCTTGTGCTTGTTAGACAGGTGGCAGCACCACTGAGCTAAATCCTGGCCCTGAGGGAGTTTTAACTAATCCACTCATACCCTAGACAAATTACAAGCTGCATATTTTCACTTGGAAGCTAGGATTTTATAATATACATTAAGTCCAAAGGGCAGGTCTAGGCAATTCTAAAAACAAAGACTTTCCTGACTTCTTCCTTAAGAGAAGTTCAGTTATAATCGCCCCACCCCACCCCCAGTGCTGCATTCACTTACCTCGGTGACGATGGAGGAGCCAGGCATGTCATAAACCCAGCCGTGCTGACAGGGGACCAGTGACAGGCGACTCCTGTTGTCAGACAGGCTGGACAGAGGGTCCGTGCAGCTGAGGGTGCTCTGGTTCCAGTCCACCTCGTACTGCATGCACTGGCGAAGGAAGGCTTTGTCCACAGCCCCCAGGCCTGGCACTGTGTAGTTGAGCTCCTCAGCCAGGCTCCAGCCACATCTCTGGCTCAGCTCAGCCACCCCAGGGCTCCAGCAGCGGTGGTTGGGGGTGAAGCCCAGGAAGACGATGCCCACATAGATGGGGGTGAAGGCGGCTGAGAAAAAAGCTAAGAGGAAAAATGTTTGCTTCTGGAAAAAGTGGAATTCTCCTATGTGCTCTAAAATGTCATCCACCGAGGGCATGATTTCTGGAGGCTGCAGCCCTGTTAAGTCCAGTGCAATGTCCCAAGTGCTGTTGAGAGTTTCTGCAGCCAGCTCAGCACAACTCAGGGCCACAAGTCAAAGGGTGAGAGTTAGTTGACTTTAGAAAGGGACCAGCCTATGGGTCGGGCTTCTCCTCGGTTGGGACAACTTCGAACTATGCCCCTCTTCAGTGAGGGAAGGTTCTGCTGCTGCCCTCAAATACTCAAGCAGGCCCCTGGGGCGAGATGTTGTGTTTATTGTAACATAATTCTCTCTGAGTTTGACTCTACCTCTTACCAGCATGCAAACAATCCCCTCTCTGTAAGCCACAGGGAGAAATCTGAGTCTCTCCCCATATTGTCGTGTGTTAATCTTTCTCTAGCACACCAGGTGTCCAGGAAATTAATATATTCCTATCTCACCAGCACAGCTGGCCTTGGCATCAGGTGCAATGCAGAGGGCATGAGCTTTGGGCTGTACTTGCCCAGCACAATGTGCCCCAGGGTCTCAGGTCCCTCTCCAGTTCTGCCACTAGGCTCCTTCTACAAACAAGTGGGCTCAGAAGGCATGCTGTGGCTGCTTGCTTTGATTTCTCCAGATGTTATCATTCTAGCCTTCCCCTCATCCATGTGAGCAGAAGAATAAAATGTTTGCTTCACACACAGGTCAACTGCAAAGGCTGATAGGAGTGCTTTGTGCCATTGTCATTTTTTTTTTTTTTTGTCCTAGATATTTCTGAGGTTAGAGATGTCTCTGCAGGATGGTAGTCAGGGCATCCAAATTCAAAGGAAACAGGCAGCCCATTTTTCCTGCTGAATGGGAGGACCCTCAGGGCCTTATGATACTGGACACTGCCAAGTATCCAAGTAGAGGTGGTCCTCTGATACATGTGCATGATCCAGCCTCAGAAATTTATTCTAGCTTGCTTTCTTCTTCTTCCCCTCCCCCTTCTCTGTTGAATATTCACTGAATTTAACAGCATGGTGTGAAGGTAGTGACCTGCTGGCCTCTCCCTGATCTTGCCTTGCTCACACAGGGCTTTTATACATGATGCTAAGCCACTGGTCCCCTGGTCATTTGCTAAGTGATAGATAGGTTTGAAACAGTTCAAAGGGGCTGCCTTGGAGGTCACCAGAGCCCTATTGCATGAGTCAGAAGCTGAGGCTACGTCTCTCTGCCCTTGGGTCTTCTGTTATTCACTGGAAAGCTGTGGGAGCAGGCAAGTTAAAGAGTGACTATGGTTGTCCAAGCTTACTCTGCTCCCAGGGACATGAGAAATTTGCAAACGCTTGCACCTAGCTTTGACTCATGGACACAGTCCATGTCTAGACATCAGATCTTTACACCGAGAGCAAGTGGGATCCAGGTGAGAGGGAGGAGGATATCGCCTGCCAAGGGGAAGTGATGTTGAAACTCATGGCAAATTGCTTAGAGGAAACCATCAGATAAGGCAAAGGTAAAGCGTCAGATCACTTACAGCATTGAGTTTACACAGTCATTAGACATTTTTCCACCAAGGCACTAACCTGGGAGCGGGTCCTACTCAAAGTTGTGGTAAAATCAGTCCTATAAGGTGAGAGGCTTGACTCTGTAGCAGAGCCTCCCAGCCGGCAGGCACCTACCATGTTTCCCTGGAAAATAAGACCAAGCTAGAAAACAATCAGCCTTGAAAACTAGAGATAAAAAATGTCAACTCCAGTCAGCCTATCCTTGACCTTCTTGTGTGAAGCAGGTCATAGATCTACAATTGAGAGGCACCTTCCCAGTGCAGGGAGGAAGGGAACATCCTTGGCTCTGAAGACACAGGGACACAGCAAGCTGAGTTCTCCCAGGTGCTACCATTATACACCCCTTTATGCAATCATACTTCTCCATGGTTCCCCACATTCCCTCACATCTAAGAATAAAAAGGCATGAGTTGCCCTGTATCTGGGTGTTTATTTCTGAAGACTCTCATATCAGGCAGAGCTAATATTAAATAAATTGGCATGCTTTTCTCTTTTCAGTCTATATTTTGTTATACCCAAGCCATGAACCTGGAAGTGGGTGAGGAAATCTCTTCCTTTCCTATGTATGGAATCTTGGCCATATTGGCAGAACACTATTACTGAGCTCTTCGGTTGGTCAGGGCTGGACCTCACAGTTTACCTGTACCGGGGATTAAACACAGGCCTTTGCACTGAGCTATGTTCTCATTCCTCTTTTTATTTTGATGCAGGGTCTCACTAAGTCACTGAAGTTTCCCAAGCTGGACTCAAACTTACAATCTTCCTGCCTCAGCCTTCCAGAGTGCTGGGATTATAGGCATGCACCACAATGCCTCACTTTTCTCAGTTTGGTTTGCCAAAGTGAACTCCTTATTAAAATCCAAGCACAATTGGAATTTCTTGGGCATTCAACCTGTCTAGAATGCTAGAAGCAAGTCAACTCATTTGCGTTGCTTTCTTTAAAGAGAGAGGAGCTCCAGCAGGAATGGGAAGAAGGACCTATAAATGTGAAATGACATAGTATTGGAGAATGGCAGGAGAATCTTAAGATTTTCATTGCAGTAATTACCAGATTTCATTTGTTAAATGTATAGAGTGGCAACCAATTTCCTCCTTGATCAAAATTGTGGAAAACTGTACATGTTATACTGCTGCGTTTTGGTTTTTTTTTTTGTACTAGGGATCGGATTTGGGTCCTTTGCGCTTGTGAGGCGGGTGTAGAACCACTGAGTTAAATCCTTAGCTCTATACTTCTGTTTTTTATAAGGAGATTTCAAAACAGGTGTGTGTTATATGTTGGTGTCAGAGGAATATATTAATATCAAAGTACTTTGAAAATACAAAGCACCTCCTTGAAACAGATCTTTAAATTCTCAGTAAAGCTGTCAGCTCATCACTAGAAGTGTAGTTCTGAAGGTCAAAGAAACCTGGCTAGAAAGAAGGCTCATTACATGTTTATTTTATTAAGACTTCAGCCCAGAGGAGGGGCACAGTTCATGAAAGAGGAGATACCTCCTTTGGAAAGGTGCTGATTCCAGGCGTGGGGTGGGAAATAAACAGTGTGAGTCTGTGGAGTTCTGTTGAGCCAGGAAACTAGAAAGCTGAAACTATTGGTTCTGTCAGCAAGACCGAAGGACTCTCTGAAGATGCTCCCATTGGCTCAAGTGGAATAATTTGGACCGCACAAAGAATAAACTACAGCACATTGAGACACATGGGGTATATTTTTTAATGTATGGGTTTGTAGTGATTTTTAAAAAAATCCCATAAAAAAGTAATCTTGGCATCCGTCTTCAATAGATGTAAAATCCAACAGATGATGTGCTGATGAAGCATTTCACACTGGAGGGTTCAGGCTGATATTATTCAGAGCCATGGACCAATCATAACATAAAAAAAAAATTGGAAAAGTTGCAATTAGAAAGAAAGAATGCATTCTAGCATTCCATTACACAGTAGGATGACTATCATTAATCACAATACATTGTATATTTCAAAATATCTAAGAGTTTTTTGAATGCTTTCACCCAGAAAGAAAAGATAAATGTTTGAAGTGATGGAATAGTGATTACCCTGATGTGATTATTGCATAATAAATATATCAAAGAGCACATGTATCCCTTAAATATGTACAATTATTGTGAGTTAACAATTTTTTAAAAGTTGTACAGCTTAACATTACAAGGCACATGTTGTAATATAGTAGGTAATACACAGCATGCAACCTGAACATACCCTTGAATTGAATTAAGTCTCTAATCTGTCACTTTATTGGACATGTTGGGGGTAAGGTTAACAAGTGATAGTATAGGAAAGCAATTAGCCAAACCCACAATCAGGATATCCTCCTGACAACTGAGTTTCCCTACAGAATCAGTGAGTCATCAGGGTGTAAAACCAAATGTAATTAATAGAGCACATCTGGATTCAACTGCAAAAATAATCTTTGAGACAATTAGGGAAAGTTTCATATGGAAAGAAGGGTAGTGATAGTAAAGAATTATTTTTAATTTTAAAGGTTGATCACAACATTGTGGTCATGCTTAAAAAGAAGCATAATCAGTTGAAGTGTATCATATTGAAATAGGTAAAGATGAAGTGGCAAATTGCTGTTCTCTTTAAATAGTTTTTAAAAAAGTGAATGCAGATGAAGGAAACAAAAATAGCAAATTTAAAGTCACAAAACTGTAGCTGCTGCTGTGAAAATCATAGCAATGAACTGTCTAGGGGTTCCTGATTCTTATGCATCTGGTAGATTCCTTGGCAATCTTTCAATGCTTTTCTGTATACTTTCAAAAGACCTTTTTAAATCCAGTCACTTTCTTTATTTTCTTACAACCTGAGTTGGTTGGTGAAGTTGGTTTCAGTGGAGTAGGATTTACTAGAATGGCCTTTGGCTCCAGAAATGTGGTTTTGGAAGAGAAAGGCTGAAAGAACCCTGCTTCTTGGTGGCCACATGGTCAGCAATGGTGTGGCACCATGCTGAGTTGTGCTTAGTTACTAAAGGTGAAAGTTACCAGTACAATTCAGAGGTGGACCCAACTTCTGAGGAATTGGTTCCCTGGATGCATATTGGACTACAAATTAATAAGAAAAAATTGAAATATTCAATCCTTTGGTTATTGTTATCTATAGAACGCTAAAATGAAAAGACAGTGTTGGTCAAATTTTGGAACTAGGCCAAGCTCAGATTTCAGTGAGTTTGAACCTTGGATCCTAGCTTCTCTTAAAGACAAAATTATTTATTGATATTTGCTAAAGAAAAGAAAAGAATACTTTCCCCCAAAAAAACTATCGCTATGGGTACAGTGGCCAGGGCAATAAAGCTTTGTAGTGGGGAGAGATATTGAGCTCAACTCTGAATACAGGATGGGCAAGTTGGAATTTATAGCCAGGAAGCGGGGCAGGGTCAGTGGTTTCCTGAGTAGAAGGATGAGTTTGGCCCACTTTTCTGTCTCATGCACACACATGTCCTCCCCCATGGTGTGCCTTTGCATATTAGGATGCAACCAGAAGCCCTCACTGGGGGCAGCCTGTATGTCTTGGACTTCTTTGCTTCCACAGCTAAAGGAAAAACATTTCTTTTCCTTATAACTTACCCAATCTCAGCAATTTTGTTATATCAACAAAAAATTGTCAAAGACACTTTCATTTCTTTTAATTTTTGTTCTAT